GTAAAGTAATCTGAGGATGCAGTGAGATCATTAAAAGTAGGTCCAATTGGGCAAATCAAGAGAAGTCAGACAAGCCCCCAAGATGACCAACCTTATTAGGTAGAGAAACAAAGGCAAATGTAGAAAGTATGACCCAAAATGTCCATTGTAAACATCACCAACATGTTCTCACTCCCAACGTGTCAGTCTTGCCCTCGAGGGACAATAAAGACCTGAATTGAAACACCGCTGCTTGGTCAGTGGCCCTCCACTTCCAAAATAGATGCTCATGCATACACGCAGGGCTCTGCAGTCACGTTAGTAACAATAAACATATATTGTCCGGTTACACTTTTAAAAAAAAGCTTGCATAGTTAACGTTGGAAAATGGTCACTGTTTGATTAGGTTTAGGCCATAGACTGTATAGATAAAAATGGTGACAGCACCCACCAATAATGCAAAGCAGGCATCCCTTTAATTACACATAACTTTAAATCCTATTATAATTTTAACAGGTGAGTTATAGAAAAATTCTCCTGCTGTACAGTTTATTTCTGCTGTAAAGTTGAGTACTTTAATATGGGGCCTTATGGAAATACACATTTGAAGCCAGCCTCAAGTGGCCATTCAAGGAACTGCAGTTTTTGTTACTTTCGTGTTGACCTCATTTGCCACCCCACCACCTTCATATTTAGACTTTCTCGCTCTTTATAATACGTCCCCTGACTTTGACGGGGGGTGCATTCAGCAGTGACCCAATAGGATACTTATCATATTTTGAAGCAGTGGGCCACTTACAAATCGGCAGCGTTTTTGACAACTTGGGAGGTTACAGACCTACATGCTGCTTGAACTTTGACGTGCTATACTTACTGTAGCCGTGTGCAATTTGTATGCAATAATGGATTGATCGTGACATTTCAGGTGTTCTGTTTCAGATTGACCTCCAAATAAAGTTGTTTTTTTAATCTGGATAAACTGCTGGTTTAGTTGGTCATCTGACTGCTCGTGTTTTTTGCCCTCATTTTTTGTGATTTTACAAAATTTTCAAATCTCTGCTGACCTTGTAAGGCAGCTGCTAGAGATCATGAAATCTTTTTTCAAAAACTTATCCGATAGTTTTGTGTAACAGACCATCTGGTGTAGTCAGGTTATGTCTCAGCAAATGCTTAGGTGAATACAATGTTATCATAGTCAACAGAGATGATGGCCTGATATAAGAAAATAAAACCCAAGTTGTAAAAATAACAGATAACATACGAACCCCATTTCCAGGATAATCAGGAAAAATGTGTGTTAATGCAGGTGTAAAGTGGAATGCAGTCAGACTCACTAGGCCACTTAGAGGTGGTCTGATCTCAACCATGTGTAAATGACATCTGTCCAGTGTCACCACATTCTTAAAGCTGTATTATTTGATTTTCTGCAGCCCATTATACAAAAACAAGAGTGAAACATCCTCCTACAGCAGATCTTCAACACTAGTTCAACAGTTTTGCAGCTGAGACTATAGGACAGAAGACAACAGGGTTAAGATACCGGTAAGCAAGTTTTGGGTTTGGCCGCCACTCCTAAGAGCAACTCACTCCTCTTGTATTATTTTACACTTGACAGTTATTGTTAGAACTATTGTTCACTAATCTTGTTTACATCATTTTGTTGTTTATACCAGATGGTATTGGGGTCATGATTTCATTTATGAGAAATTGCAACAAGACCCTTAAAGGTGCAGTGGGTAACTATTTGCTGAGATTTTCACGATTTCCTGATAACAGTACATGAGACATATAATCAATTAAAAAAACTAATTAAAAAAATAGGTTCCTCTGGCTCCTCCTAATGCGGTTTGCAAGAAACCACCGGGCCTGAACAAAAACAACCAATCAGAGCCAAGAAAGCTTTGAATTAGTGGCTTGAAGAAAGTAGATTTTTAGGTTTCAACAATCAACTATCTTTCTTTACTCTGATTAGTTGTTGTTTTTTTGTTTTTGTTAGAGAGAGAGTTTTCACAAATGCCATTAAGAGCACTAAGAGAAGACAGAGGGACCTGATTTTTTCACAGATTATCTGTCTCAACTTATTTTTAGAAAAGTTACCTACTACAGCTTTAAAAAAAAATCTAAAACTGAATGTGAAAATTATCTATATTTTTACTGTAGGGATAAAATGACCCACCATGCCCTGATGGTGCATAGAGGCTCACCTCGGGCAAACATCACAGTGTCTGTGGATGGAGGCTCTCGGTCCAGCAGTGGGAACTAGAGGCCCTCTACTAACCCTTCCCTCCGTCACCTCCGACCTACACTTTCCTCAAACTTCAACACTGTCACAGAGCAGATAGGTGACAGAGATCTCCAGAGAAGAGTAGAGAAGCTAGAGGGCCAAAGCTTACACCACAGGTAATGTTTCAAGAGGGGACGAGCAGAAATTCAACATCAACACAAATGACCCCAAATTTCCTGCACATAATGTCATGGCAGGATATGAAGTCCCATTAAATAAGCTTTGGAATCAGTTCCAAGCTGATATCAGGCAGATATTCAGGTTCCAGTTTCACAAAATAACAGGCTTCTCAAATTTCCCTCAGGCTGTACTGTCAACTTCTGTTTTTATGTGTGGCCCATTGTTGTTATACCCTATGTGTTTGTCTGTACATGTGTCTGTGCATGCTTTTTTCCCCAATAGGTGGGTCTAGACTGCATGCTGTGCATATGTGAGTCAGTGTTAATGAAAGGGCTTTGAAGTTTACCTTTAGCTCCCAGCCCCCCTCTCCTTACAGTCAGAGATGGAAAGAAGGGAAAACCCAGCAGTTTAACACCTTCCGGGCTGACATATCAGTTTATGGATGAATTCAGTATATGTTGTAACAAATTAATAATTTCCTTGAAGGTCCAGTGTGTAATATTTAGGAGGATCTATTGGCAAAAATGGGATATATTTCTCATAGGTAATATTTTACAATATTTATTATTGTATAATCACATTACCTTAGAATCAGCCGTATAGCTATATTTTAAACCAAGAATGATCATCAATCTTTTTTTTTGACTGATCTGAAGACAGCAATCTTCAAAAAAAGGTAACATTTCATTTCATATCAGCATCACAATTTACAGTGCTCTAATGCCCTACAGTTCGGCCCCCATATGAGCATGTTTCATGCGTAATGTCTTTGTTTTTAATTTTCTTTCAGAATTAAAAAACACTTGTTTCCACCCCCAACATCACCTGCATCCCAAACTCACTGTGAACTGGGTTAGGGGCAAGAAAGGCAAACTAAAATGAAACTTAAACATATCTGTGTCGTATTTCGGAGCCTATTTATAACAGCATTTTCTATTTTTATGCATCATGTTTCATTGGTGATGACAACCCGAGTCACAGTAAATATATCCTCCACCTGAGGCATTTTGTGCAGCACCACAATCATTTTGCTTCCCTCTGGATGTTCCAAGAGAGCAGTATGTAGGAAAAAAATTGTTTTATAAACCAAACTGCTGTTATCATGTGACTGAGGTTATACACGTTGGTCATTTGATGACAGCTCAGCCATCTCCATGACAACAGTGTAAATTCTGTCTGCTGATGAAGACTGTGAGATGCAGTAGGAAGCTCCAGAAAAAGCTATGGGCCTTGTGTAAAATTATTTTGTCAGCACTTTATTATAGCTGATTTTGGATTGAGTAAGGATCGCCTCACATTCACACAGACAATTAACTTACATCATTAGTCTAGGTCAGGGGCAGGCAACCTGCAGCTCTAGAGCCACATGCAGCTCTTTAGCCCCTCTCCAGCGGCTCCAGTTATATGGAAATGAATAATGCTTATTTTTTAACATTTTCATGTATCATTGTTGTAAGCCTAAAATGATTATGCTATTCTCCAGTTGTAAGAATGTGTAGCCATTACACTCAGAATTAAAAAAAATGTTTTTCGTCAACTAAAATGTGCACCAATAGCCATATATCTTAGGCCTTTAGTTGTTTTGTTTTTTTCGCCTTCACTGCCAATGTTTCTGGCTTACCAGAATGTTTGAGCTTTGGTGAGACATTACAATTACAAGGCTCAGATAGGATTTTTTTGTTTGGGCAAAAATCTATGTTGATATATGAAAAATGTATTAGCAAAATGGATGCTTTATCATTAAAGCTACTAAGTTTCATAAAAATAACTATTGTTATATTTTCTGAAACCTTCACTATATCCTGACAGTAGTACATTTGACAAATGGTCTGTGAAAAAAATTCCTCTGGCTCCTCCTAGTGCTCCTAATGGCATTTGCAAGAATCCATGGGGCCCCGAATGAAAATAACCAATCAGAGCCAAGAAAGATAGTTGATTGTTGAGTCTCATTTCAACAAACTATCTTCAAGCCACAAACCCAAAGTGTCCTTATATCTTTCTCGGCTTTAAGTGGTTGTTTTTCGCTCAGGCCCGGTGGATTCTTGCAAAGTGCTTGCAGAGGAGCCAGAGGAACCTGATCCTGACAGATTATCTGTTGTATGTGCTACTGTCAGGATATAGTGAAATATAATTTCAGAAAATAGGACAAAAAGTTATTTTTATAAAAAATGTCCTACTGCAGCTTTAATACTAACATTTCCTCTGGAAAGGAAGAATCTATTTAAGGCCCCTCTCTACTATACATTACTTCCCAGGGTACTTAGTTTAGCTTAGCTTTGGCCCCAAACACTCTGGTTCTAGCCCTGTCAGCTGCAGCTCTAATGCCACAGTTTATCCAGTTTGTTTAGCTTTAGATTTCTTCCAGTTTCTCTCATCCAGCTGGTCTTGAAACTGTCAGCTTTTGAGGTTAATCTAATTTCTCATAGTTCCAATATGACTCATCCAATATATCCCAGCAACCCTAACCAACCATTCTTACACTCAGCAGCATAAGAGTGTGTTTGGCTGTGCTCAAGACCCACCGCTGAAACTCTCCTCAACCTCTTCTGTCCTTTCGAAAAACTTCTCTGGCTCCTCCTGTTGCGTCTTCGCCTTCCGTGCGCGTCGGAGAAGCTCCCCCACTCACTGCTCACTGCAGATCCACAGAGTAGACTACTGGCATTGAGGAGTTAGACCCAAACTTTCCCCCCAAGAGAATTTTACATTAAAATCCGTGTTTTTTTTCTCGTCTGTGCAGATTTTCAGTTTTGTTCTCTTCTCAGAGGTTTTCCGCTTTTGTTCTATTTTTAATTGTGCGGTTTTTTTTACTTTATCCATGTTGAAATGGAATATGAGGAGTTCCCCAGAGAGCAGCTATCAAGGTTTTGAGGTAAGAGCATCTATATTTCATTGCAATAATTTGAGCTGAAGCGATTAAATATTTAGGGAGCACTTTGCCTGAAACCCCCCACTGCAGCGCTGTGTGCGTAATTTACCGGAGTTTATCCATTCATGCGTTGATGGAGGCAAAGAGTCACCCACGAAACTTGTTCCGAATTCGGATCAGCACTAAGTATTAAGTTTAACAGTGATGGATTATGACTGTCATCTGAGATAGTTTTATTGTAGTTTATCTGTCACAATAATGTCAGTCCGTTTTTTGGTCTCTTCGTCGCCTTTTTCCCTTTAAAAATGTTCTTAAACAGAGATCAATAATAATAATAATAATAATAATAATAATAATAATAATAATAGTACTTATCGCATGTCTCATGTGTTGGTTACATTATTACTGTTGTAGTTTTTACACAGCCGCTGTGACTGCTCCTCCCGTGGATGAAGATGGACCCTCCCGCCCTGTGCGTCCTCCAGACTCTGCTGGTGCTGATGATCTTGCCCCCCGTTGCCTCTCTGCCCTGTCCCCGGCCTTGCTCCTGCCCACAGCCCACTGAGCTCCACTGCACCTTCCGCTCCCTCCTCACCATCCCAGTTGCTGTATCCAAACACGTGGAACGCATGAACCTGGGGTCAGTCCTTTTGGGATCCTCAGCATTGCCTATTATTTTGCTACACTGTCAGTGATTGGATTACACTCTTAATGCAGAATTATAAAGGGATTTAACACCCAGGCTCATGTATTGTTTCTTTTGAATTTGGGGTTTCTGTGTATTATATCGCCCACTCTGGTTGTGTTTCAGGTTCAATAGCATTAATAAGATCACAGATAGATCGCTGGCTGGCCTGAGGAAGTTGGAGCTTCTGATGGTCCATGGGAATGACATCCACAGTCTACCAGATGGAGTCTTCAGAGACCTTAATTCACTACAGGTACACCGATTGAACTCACCAAATGTTACCCAGGAATAATTCAAATGAATGAATGGCGGCTATAGGTCTGGTTTTAGTCCTTAAGCAAGATACTGAACAGTTTCTTTGTAAGGTCCTATCTAACAATTTGCTGATTTTTACCAGATTATGGTATTTTACAGCTCAGATTGCCAATAACATCTCACTGAGTGTCCATTTGGAACATAATGTGTTTAGCGTGTGACTATGGCTCCATTGTGTTTCTAAGCTGACAAGGTATGGCATATATTTCTATTTTAAAAAGAAGAAAACAACATTGGCATAAGAAAAAAAACACATTTTCTCCTCTACACATTTCTGACTGCTGGAAGTCAGTCAGAGCTGGGCGTTGTGAGAGAAAGTCTGTCTATAAAATAACGTCAAAGTAAATGCTAAATGCGTAACATTCATGGTGTTTGCATTAATTTGAATGGCCAGGATAATAACAACCTGTTTAATACTTATTAACAACATTTAATACAAATTTTATTACTTTTTCATGGATAAAACTGATGAAAAACGAGGCAAAATGTCTTTCCTGCCATAAAAACCACTGTATAAATGTAAATCCCAGTAAAAAAGGAGAAAGTCATTCTAAGTTTAAACATTTTTATAAACTAATAGTTTTCATTATGCCAGATTTTAGGGGGTTCTGTATCCCTAAACTCGAAAAAGTTACCTTTTCAGAGGAGCATTAATCTATTTGAAAGGGTTCAACAACAGCAACCATTTTAGTTTGTCTTTCCCCTACTTTCTCCCATGATACTAGTTTACTGTGACTTTTTTTACTCATTATTTATCATTTAGATAGCAAAAATAAACCTGAACCTGGACTTGGACTTCCCATGAATTCTAAAAATTACAAATGTCTCAAAATATTCTTCATTTGGAATGTAGATTCTACATAATTGTAATTTTATCAGAGAAAGAGACATTAAAAAAACATTTAAATCTGACTTTCACTGTTGCTATATGAAGCTTGTATTGAATAAAATATGGCTACATCATCACTTTGAGTATTAAGTATTCTAAATGTGTTGTTTCTCAGAATGTGTAATCTTAGCTCTTTTCTTTAAGATGGGGTAGGAGGGTTCAAGAGGTTCATAATGTTACAATTACTAATGACTTTCCTTGTCCTTTTGCTCATTGGTTTAGATGTTGAAAATTAGCTACAACAAGCTGAAGGAGATCAACAGACACACCCTTCAAGGTCTATGGGCCTTGGCCAGGTTACATCTGGACCACAACCGGCTAGAGTTCATCCACCCAGATGCCTTCCAGGGCCTCACCTCTCTGCGACTGCTGCAGCTGGAAGGCAACAGGCTTCAGCAGCTGCACCCAGCCACCTTCACCACCTTCACTCTAATGGACTACTTCCATGTCTCCACTCTGAGGCACCTCTACCTGTCAGACAATGGGTTGAGATCACTGCCTTCCAGGCTGGTGGCCACCATGCCTCAGCTGGAGAACCTGTACCTCCATGGGAACCCTTGGACATGTGACTGCAACATGAAGTGGCTCCATGAATGGGATAAAACCTCACCAGGTTAGACATTAAATTTCTGATTTGATGAAGACTAGTGAACTGATACTTTAGAGTTTGTCTTTACTTATATATTTCATAACATTTAAAGATGACAATCCAAATTGCTTCAGTGTCTTATTTGACATGGTTGTTTTTTTCCCCCAGGTGTCTTGAAATGTAAAAAGGACAGGGCCCTTCCCGGTGGCCAGCTGTGTCCTATGTGCTCCTCTCCTAGGCACCTTCAGAGGAAAGAGGTCCAAGCCATGGAGAACCTGTCCTGCAGCAGCCCCGTCATCAGCTCTCCTCACAGGACTTCCGCACCTGATGATGTTGAGAGTGAGGTCATGACTATGGAGGAATTCAGTGAAACATTTGGAAACGTCTCCCTGGGCTTGTCAGATGAACACGGGAATGAGGTGGATCTAGAGTGTAGCATTGGCGAGCCGAGAGAGCTTACCAAGATCAATGGGGAGCAGGTCAACCAGGTCCAACTGGCCTCCAACATCACCTTTTCAGTGGATCTTGAATGCCCTGTTGATAGAGAAAAGTATGAGCGACTGTGGAGGCTAATCGCATACTACAGCAATGTGCCAGCCCATTTACAAAGGGGGGTTATGCTCAGTAAAGAGCCTCATCCAACCTATGTGTATAGGCAGGACCCCGAGAAGGATGCCCTGTACTACACAGGAGTTAAAGTTAATATGATGGCCCAGCCGGAATGGCTGATGCAGACATCTGCAGACCTTCAGCTGAACAGACTTCAATCATCAGCCAAGGTGGTAAAATTGATCCTGAGCACAGACTTCTCGGAGACAGTGGAGGCAGAGCTGGTGCGAAGACAGAGGAGGACGTGGGTCATGATCGAGTCAACAAACACAACCCGCAAAGTGTTGAGTGCTATCCTGGGAAGCCCGAGTCAAATGTACTGTAACGTGCACAGTTCTGGCCAACCAGTCATCCACTGGATGCTGCCAGATGGCTCAAAGGTGGAGGCACCGTACAGCAGTCCAGACAACAGGGTGTCTGTGTCCAGTGAAGGACGGCTGGTCATTAAAGCTGTCAGCCACTCAGACTCAGGAATTTACTACTGCATTGCTAAGGTTCATGGAGACCTTGCTGTCCTACCATTCCATCTGACAGTGCAGGAATCCTCTAGCCCTCCCCCAGGGGAGGATGCCTCAATTACACCTATCGAGGGATTTGCAGGGAGCCCCATTTCCCTGCCTTGCACGTCATCTGGTTCTCCTGATGCAGAAATTAACTGGATTCTACCAAGCAGCAACATAGTTAGTCTCCAAGCCAACTCCTCTAGAGCTTTGGTCTTTTCCAACGGCACTCTACACATTCCACAGACTCAGTTATTAGACAGTGGTTATTATAAATGCATTGCCATAAATCAACATGGTGTGGATACACTGGCTACAAAAATCACTCTTGTCAGGCGCAAAGGGCTGATAAGGCCTTTGAGAAAGTTTCCACTAAGACCTCAGTCAGCCTCAGGGGTCAACACTCAGATTAAGGTCCCGACAGAGGATACAGAGGAGGCATCAGGGGACACTGAGGTTACTCAGGTGGGGGCTCCAATAAGTCGTGTGGATCCTGTGAGGAGGAGAATTCCAGGAGGTGTGGCCACAGGCAGGAGGGGCATCCATCCATTGAGGAGGAGGCCACTAATGCGAAAACCAACAGGATCACGTATTGAAGACAGGAAGAATGTAGTTGAGAACAGGAGGAAGATTAACACGACAAAGAGTAAAATAGACCCAGAGAAATGGGCGGATATTTTGGCAAAGATAAGGGATAGAAATTCTCAGAATACTGTGACACCACTCCCAGTTCAGCATACAACAGAGAGTAAAATGACAGAGCAGACAACACAGTCAGAAGAAACTACTGAGGGATCATCTGATGGCGTGACTGAGCAGGAAAAAGAGAGCCAGGATTTCTTCACAACACTACACACTCCAGTGCAACATACAAAAATGAAAACTAATAAACACAATACACAAGGTCAAGGCGCACATGTGACATCTAATAGCTACACTGCTGATGATACACATGATATGACATTAAACAGTCAGCACACACACAGCATACATGCTACAGAACCACACACAACACAGACTACATATAATGTGCAACACAAAACCCCTGATATGAACTTGGATCTACACACAACTTCAAACAGTGTGTTTTTCCTCCCACAGACCACATCTGTTCCCCTACACGCTGTCACTTTCTGGCAGGCTAACACAAACATTGCAAGCAGCAGCAGTACATTGTCTCTACAAGAGAACCATAGCACAAATACAGATGTTGATGGAGTCAAAACAGCTGATTGGTCCAAGGCATCGGAGAGGAGCGAGAATATGGATAAACCAAATGTTGTTGCCAGCTCTAATAATGACAGAGAACTCCTTTCAAGTGGAAGTCAAATTATCCCGTCGGTCAACCCAAATGAATCAGCAACAAGCCAAGAGGAAAATGGAAAATATCTCAGTGAGACTGTAACAACCTCACAGCCGCATACTCAGCCAAAGGACACAGCACTTGATAATTCACAATCTCGAGCAATGCTCACAACAGCATCTCCAGCAACTACACTTGTACCCACGACTTCAAGGAGGTGGGGGTCTGAAGGACAATCGCCCCTACGACAACCTAACTCTAGGAGAAGGAATGGGGGTCGTCGGAGAAAGCCAAACAGAAGGAAACAAAAGCTGAATAAACCCACCCAGTTTATTGCCACCACACCTGCAAATGCTCCCCTAGCAACAGTCAGGACCACCGCCTCCAAACAGCTAAAAATAGAAGCATTAGAAGTTACAACAGCCAATTTCAATACCACTGTTCCATTCAGCGGCAGCCAAGCAGCGTCATCAGGCAGACTGAGTCATGAAGAAAGCACAGACTCAGGGCATGGCGCCGAGGCAGCCACCAAACTCTCTTCAATACCAGCTTCTCCCCCCGAAACAAACGACAGCCTTCTACTGCTGGCCAAACCACTATTCAAAAGTACATCAGTGGCACCATCATTTCCAACAACCTCTCCAGGAGTGGGTCACGGAAAGACGAGTTCTCAAACAGTCTTGGGAATCTCAGAGAGTGCATCTCCTGCAGTACGCTTGGATATGTTCACATCAACCACTCAGCAGATGTTTATAGAGAGCCCTCTTCCACCTGTTAAACCCTTAGAGGAGACACAAAGGGTAAGCGTTACGGGACACCTTGGACCTGTGCTTCACTCTGACAATTCCTCTGGGAGTTTTCACACTATAACACAAGTGCAAACAGATGTTGGGCAGAATCAATCAGACCATCAATACACACCCATGGAAAAGGATGGAAAGATGAATTTGAAAGAAACTGACATGCATTTTTCACTGCTGCCATCCCCATCTGCCTCAGCTGCTTCCTCGATCGAGCATGAAATCAAGGCAACCTCTGGATACATGACAAGTGGCTTAGTTACAACTCCGAGCATGCTTGAGGGTGAAGTGGACACAGAACAGGTAACCACAAAGACACCTACAGTCCCTGAAAGATCTTATCATAGTTTTAGTCAAAATAAAATCCAGAGCAGTGAGTCAGAGGTAGATAAGCATCTTGAAGAAACTGCACACGTAGGAATTAATGTTGATGCTCTTATAACAATACATCCTTCTGCTACGTGGTTGAGGCCTGATGTTGTGATCCCATCCAGAGTGGCACCGCATGTCACTTTATTACCTGAAACTTCTTCTACAGGACCCATAATGGGCCCTTCACTAAGAGCCACCACTCAGGAGGCTCCCAGGATCAGCAACATTCCAGACAACAACAGTCAAGACCAAGAAATCCAATCCATCACCACAACAGAGCCTCAGAGAACATTAGACTACCATCCTGCAACGCAGTCAATTAACCACAAACTGGATTTGTTTATTAGTATAAACCCAACCTCCCCAGCCCTAAAATTGACCAGCAGACAGACATTCAAGCAGACGACCATCCCTGCCCCAACAATTGCTACTGTCCAAACTGATCCCTTCAGAGAGGGACTGCTAACAAGCACTCATGACGTGTCCAGAAAGCACCAGCTACCTGGACAAGGATCTATTCCAAGAGGGAAGCCAAGGATAACTAAGAGCAATTTCCAGACTTTAACTGTTAAAGCTGAAACAGATGCTCAGCTTCCCTGTGAGGCTGAGGGTGAGCCAATGCCCTTCCTGTCATGGACTAAAGTTGCAAGTGGTATGTATGACTCAACCTCATAACTCAGCTTTATGTACATTTTCAGGTCAGCCTTGGCACTTCCTTCTTTACAAACAATGTGGAAAATAGAAGTTATTATTAAACCAGTGTAATTAGCTTATTTAAGATTCCAATAAACACTGAGTAATATAAATACCATAACCTTTATTTTTTTGTTTACTTTATTAATTGGACAAATACAGGCAACGCTATGCAAGTATATCACAGAAAAATATATTACAGTGTGACAGCCTAGAATATGGTTACTTTGTCCAATATGAACATAATTCCAAGGATAACTGGGTCAATAAGAATAAAAGCTTATTCTGTTTAAAAAAGCTGTTAAATGGAAACATTGTGTTGGCATTGTCTTTGTCCACCTTGGAATAAATATTATTTCACAACTAAAAGCTGATTTGAGGGTGCACTCCCTGATAAGCACATAAGTAATGTAAAGTAGGTAAATCTATGTGTATTAAGTAGGATGAGGGCTCTACTGTTTGTCAAAGCCATCTGGCCAGTCAATATTAAGTTATCCCCTTGAACATGCTATAGATTTGTAAAATATGACACCCACAAATAATTATTTTTGTACCACTTGTGAATACTACTCCCATTTCACCTACAGTATATTGTTTCTTTTCTTTTCTACAATCAATACTTACTTTAAATGGTATGCTATGTGTTAGAGCACACTGTTATATTTTAAACCTTTTTTCCATTCATGCAGGGACGAGTATTGCTCAGAACACCAGGATCCAGAGGTTTGAGGTCCATCAAAATGGTACATTAATCATCAGGAACACACATCCCATGGATGGGGGCCAGTACCTGTGCACTATCCAGAACCAGTATGGCACAGACAAAATGGTGATCAACCTTGTGGTCCTGTCTCAGCATCCGCGGGTACTCCAGCCTCGGCACAGAGACATCACTACGCATCTAGGCGGCAATGTAGATTTAGAGTGTAAAGTGGAGGGGCACCCTACGCCTCGAGTCACATGGGTACTCCCTAACCATGTCCACATGGCTGTTGTCCCACTTGGTGTTGCCCCTCGGCAGCGTGTGGCCATATTGACTAATGGAACCCTCCGGATCAGCCAGGTCACTTACACAGATAGAGGGATTTACAAGTGCATTGGCAGCAGCACGGCCGGAGCCGACACAGTCTCAGTCCGCCTTTATGTCTCCGCTTTGCCACCCATGATTCAGCAGACACAACATGAGAACATCACCCTCCCAGAGGGCAGCAACGCCTACATTCACTGTACTGCCACAGGTGCCCCTCAGCCTGTCATCCGCTGGATCACACCTGATGGTGTGCAGCTCACTGCTTCCCAGTTTGTTAATGGACGCAACCTCATCGTCTTCCCAAATGGGACCCTCTATATACGGGGACTGGGCCTTGGAAATGCTGGGAGATATCAGTGCTCTGCCAGTAACACAGTGGCTTCCAGCAGGAGAACAGTAATCTTGAGCATAAGAAGGAATCTGTCCTTAGCCAAGGCCAGTATCACATCATCATCCCCAGAGAGAACAGATGTGATCTATGGGGGGAGACTGCTGCTCAACTGTGTGGCAAAAGGAGAGCCAGAGCCCCGGATCATCTGGAGGACACCCTCTAAGAAGCTGGTGGATGCTCAGTACAGGTAACAGTTGCACAAGCTAACTAATATTTTTTTCTACATTCTCAATAAATAAATGCCTACATTAAGTTTCTATTATCTTTGCAGTTATGACCCCAGGATCAACGTGTTCCCGAACGGCACTATAACCATTCATTCTGTGACTGACAAAGACAGTGGTGACTATCTGTGTGTGGCACGTAACAAGATGGGTGATGACTACGTTTTGCTGCGGGTTAACGTGCTGACCAGGCCGGCTAAAATCAAACAGAAGCAGCAGCAATCCAGTCAGGAGGTGGTGTACGGTGGAGACCTGAAGGTGGACTGCGTGGCTTCTGGTCTCCCCAACCCCGAGATCAGCTGGGCACTCCCGGATGGGACCATGGTCAACCCGGTCAAACAAAGAGATGGTGTAAGCGGAGGGCGCAGTCGCAGGTATGAGCTGCTTAGTAATAGTGAATCTTAGATTTGTTAATACATTTTATTTATAGAGCACTTTTCTAGGAACTCAAAGACACTTCACATAGGTTAAAATTTGATTAAAAGTAATTTTCACCTCTAAGATGCCTCCATTGGCCTATATCGCAAAGGAAGTTTAAAGGCATACTATGCAGTTTTCCGGTTTTGTCAAACAGCTACCCCTAGAGTCGCTGTGGAGTACTTGTATTTAACGTTAAATGTCCTAAATACCACTCACCAGAGCCGTCTCTATATACGGCTCTGCGTCTCTGCACTCACGGCCTGATCCCCTCCCCCCTGTATACCGGTACATGTTCAGTAGGATGGAAGTGTCGGACATCGAACAGGCAAAGATAGACTCTGAAGATGTCTACTGACCAGGTAACTGCTAGTGTCTTCCATTGAGGCTGCTTCTTATGTCGCTGATGTATGTGATGTCGCGCCGTAAAGCAATTTGTGATTCTCGTGAGATTTGGCGGGACGCCACCCTCAGACTTGCATTGCTGGTCGTGCCAATGGCGTCCCTCTCCTGCTTTGCTATCGGGATGATTCGCTATACTACGAGTTTGTTTACCATCGAAATGACTTCGAAGCCTACTATTAAGGTAAAAATCTTGCATAGTGTGCCTTTAACTAAGCCCGCCTCTCTTTCAGCTCCATGGCTACGAGCCTAACATTGATTTTAACCCCTTAAAATCAATCCTCTTTTTTCTCTGAATTAGCTTTAAAGTTAGAATTCCTCATATTGCATACTCTGTGACAGTATCCTCGGCCTACATATACACTCAGTGTACCTGGTCCCCCCAAGCTAAAAAATAATCTATGGTCCAACTTTATAGTTATATTGGAGGCTGTGCCTCATGTGACCAAAAAGCTGAGTTAAACCCAAAGATAGCTGGCTAACCCTTTATTCTCACAATTTTACTCCATCCAACTGGCAGTATGTTGTCCTTCTAATACTCTAGGATGGCCAAAAAGAAACCTCTATTGTATCATGTTGCAAAATGGTACTTGCATCCCAAGTTCCCTTTATTAATTGACTGACTTCCTGCTCAAAGTGGCCAGCCATTCTCAAATTCTTCATAAATATTTAATATTTATATTTACCAAATATTTCAAGAAAATTGTTCCATCACAAAAAATAAAACTGCATAAACAGCGATTAATATTGTATTTTTTCTTTTCAGTAGAAATTTCTGGCAGGGCTGTCAAAACTGGGGCCTAAAGGCCAAGGTTGGCCCAACATAAGCTTTGATTTGGCCCGCGGGACCCACTTTGGGCTGACACGGAATTAGTAGCATAAAGATGTCAATATACCAGGCTACTATGTACTAAGTAAAATCAGTTTCAACCCAGTTTCTTCTTAACTGTTAAAGATCTAGTGTGTAGGATTTAGTGGCTTTTAGCCGTGTAGTGTAGTTGCAACTTCCTCGCCTCACCCTCCCCTTTAAAATGCGAAGGAGAAACAGCGTCTGTGAAATGCGTGAAAAAACGTGGTGGTTCAACGTAGCGGACTTGCTCCCTCTGTAGATAAAAACCGCTCATTCTAAGGTAACAAAAACTAATTTTCACATTTCAATTCAATACAAGGTTACACTCTGCACCCTGCATAAAAAGATAAAAAGAAAGAAGTGTTATTTAAAAGAAGTGGTCACTTTTGGTCACCACATAGACGTATACAGGAATTCCAACAAACATCCCTGATCTCTGATGATGAACCAAACTCCCTGATACAAAATGAAGAAGATTAAGATTTGCTGCTCATGATTGGCACCTTTCTACCTTACACACCTCCTTGTGTGGGTCAGAGTGTTGCATTTTAATAAAATCAATTCAGAGCAGCTGAAGGGATTGTTAAGAAGTTGTAGTTTTGGAATACAAAATGTACATGGAGTATAGTCGCTCTAACATTGAACTGATTTTAAATGTAGAGTCACTGAACTGACCCATCACTATTGGCTAGTGGTGTTCAACAAAGAAATCTAATCTTTAGCTTTGCCAGTTGGTCCTGTTTAACAATTAACCCACATTTAATCAACTAAGACATTGAAAGATTCATTAAAAATGTCCATATGTCCATATAACTTATTGGAAACTATTTCCTGACTCTGCGCTACAGTGGCAGCTCACCACCTTAAGATTAATGACTCTTCACTTCCACGGAAAATTACTTCAGGAACCAATTTGGCATGTGCTGCTACAATACAAAAACTCCTTCATATTTCAGCTGTATTTATTGTTTCCTGCTATGACACATAGAACATACTGTAAATACTACTTGTCAGTCTATTAAGGTTGTGCAACCTAACATGTTTCTTTCTGACACATAATAGCTGACTGGACATTGAAAAAAGGCTCACATAGCAGCAAATACCAGTACCTTTGTACTCATCTGTTTCAAAATAGCCTTGAAGATAAATACAGAACCTGCCATACTAGTATGCAAAAAAAATTCAAAAGCAGATTTAGACTTTATTGTCCCAGACAGAGATTTATTTTTACAGTTTAGTTCAACATAGAAACACACAAATATAAACACAGCAATATACAGATAAAGGCAAAACGTAGATAGATAAACAAATTGCTTCCCAATACAACAGTGAATGCAATGGCAGAGGGGACAAAACTCTTGCTGAAGCAAGCTCTCCTCCATTTTAAGGGCCCGCCCATCCACATGGCAGTGATGTGAAGTGAAGACTGAAGGGGTAATCAGTGTCATTTGCTATTGTGAGTGCCAGGCGTGTGATGGCTCTGTCGTTTATGTCGGAGAATTGATGACTGTAGAGGCAGTATGCGTGACGGTGGTAAGTTTGTTTTTGTTAGAGATGGTCAACACGTTGAAGAAGCAGGGGAACAGTACAACAGGATGGGCTGTATTATGATTTTGTAAAGCAACAAAGGGGGGGGGTGCTCAGAGTTTATAAATAATAACAGAGGAGTCTGTGCTGGGATCGTTTATGCATAGAAGTGATGTGTTGATCAAAACTTTATTGCCTGTTGTGAGTAAGATATTTTAAGTTATTTTTCTGCCTTGCCATGGAAAGGCAGGAGGGTGCTAATGACTAGCTGCACGTAGTTATCAGTGACCCATTATGTGAAGTGAGAGAGTTTCTATTGGTTGTAACAGAGTTATTGTAATTAAATAGTCCTAGAAGTGCAACAGTGTCATCAGAGTATTTGAAGTATGTGGTGATTGGTGAGGGGCTGGTCCATATAATAATGTTGAAGTGTAAAGGAAGGGGACACAGCCCTGAGGGGCTCCGGTTTTGGTGATGACAGTTGATGATGATCCTCTACCTATTCTAACAAGTTTTGAAGTGGATGAGGAGTTGAGGGTGTTGAAGTTTCTTGGCCATCTTGTAGCATCAAATTGAAGGTGCAGCTAAGTAATCAAAGGACTGTAGCAAAGTTTCCTGGTGATTCCAGACGTTGGAGGAGGGAGTGGAGGAAGCAGGACACAGCATCCTCCATCTCTCGTTTGGCCCTGTAGTCAAACTGGTGGGGGTCCAGCTGTGGTCTGACAGCTGGTAGGATGATATTCAGGATTAGTTTTTCTGTACATTTCATGATTATTGAAGTAAGTGTGACCTTCAATTCAAGAGTAGTGGTGGTTGGGTTATGTAGGGCAGGGTTTTCTTCGGTACTGGTATGCTGGTGAATGTTTTTCAGAAGGTCCATATTCTGTCCTGTAGGATTCTCAGACGATAGAGCGGAGAATTAGAGAGAGCTCCATGGCACACAGCTTGAGTACCTTAGCTGGGATGCCATTTGGCCCTGGTAACCTTGAAAGCTGCTTGAAAGCTGCTGGCCTTTAAAGTCACCAGGTATATGCAGTAACACCATATAAAGGATTGTTTTGTATTATTTCCATTTGAATTTGTGTGGAGTATTCTTTCCTCAGTAAGAAAAGAGCTATACATGATGGTAGTAAGTCATAATGTATGATGTCCAAATCTTAAAAATGTTTAATTTCATTCCATTATGATATTATGCACACAACTCTTAACTGACAGCCGCAGTCATCCTCAAAAGTATAACAATCAGTATCCCTGTCCTTCCTTTCCTTTCTGAACTGTCTGTAGGTATGTGGTGTTTGACAATGGGACACTATACTTCAATGATGTCGGCATGCCAGAGGAAGGTGACTACACTTGCTATGCTGAGAACCAACTTGGCAAAGATGAGATGAAGGTTAGAGTCAAAGTCAAGGTTGCACCTTCCCCACCAAAAATCCAGGATAAAGACAAAAATATTGTCAGGGTTTTCTATGGTGAAACCACTACACTAAGATGTAACACCAAAGGGGAATCAATGCCGGTCATCACATGGATATCCCCTACAAATAGAGTGATATTTCCTGTTTTAGACAAATACCAGATCCTGGATGATGGGACACTGGTGGTTCAAAAGGTCCAACGTTTTGATGGAGGTAACTACACCTGTATGGCCAGGAACAATGCAGGACAAGATCATAAAGTAATCAGGCTGGAGGTCCTGGTAACATCTCCAGTTATCAACGGCTTAAGTGGAACTGCCAACACTATCAAAGTAACCGCAGTACAGGATCAGCGGAAGTTGGTGGACTGTGTGGCAAAGGGAACCCCGACTCCCCGTATCATGTGGGTTCTACCAGGAAATGTGATCCTTCCTGCACCGTACAATAGCAACAGAATGACAGTTCACCAGAATGGTACCTTGGAAATCCGGTCACCCAAGAGGACAGACTCGGGGCAGCTGGCTTGTATCGCTCGTAATGAAGGAGGGGAGGTCAGGCTGGTGGTAAACTTGGATGTGAAGGACGTTGAGAGGCAACAAATGAGAGGACCAAAAACAGATAGCCTGTCACTGACTGTGGGAAATTCCATGACTTTAAATTGCTCTTTTGAGGGCTCACCACTACCTCATGTCACTTGGATCTTACCCAACGGCACACCTTTACATAGTGGTGCTCGGTTCTCTAAGTTTTTCCACCAGCCAAACGGCTCCTTGATCATCAGCAACCCCTCTGTTGCTGAAGCTGGTATGTACCGCTGTCTGGGGCGTAATTCTCGAGGGCTTGTGGAGCATACAATCACATTGTCTCCAGGGAGAAAGCCAGAGATCAATAACAGATACAACTCTCCTGTCAGCGTCATGAATGGGGAAGGACTTTTGCTTCATTGTCAAGCCAGTGGCGAACCTCTCAGAATAACATGGACACTACCTAGTGGGGTTGTCCTCAACAGGCCACAGAGAGCTGGACGATATGCTGTATTGCCCAATGGGACCCTTGCCATCCAACAAGTATCAGTCTATGATCGGGGGTCCTACGTTTGCCGAGCTGCAAACGAATATGGAAGCTCTCTGCTTTCTGTGTCAGTAATTGTGATTGCATACCCACCTCGAATTACCAACGGCCCTCCCCCTGTGATTTATGCTAAACACGGAGTTGCTGTTCAGTTGAATTGCATAGCAACTGGGATCCCTAGAGTGGACATAGCATGGGAAACGCCTGATAAAACCCGCTTGGCTGTCAGTGCACAGGCACGCCTTTTTGGAAATAAGTACCTCCATCCGCAGGGTTCCCTCATTATCCAAAACCCAACACAAAGAGACGCTGGCGTCTACCGATGTACAGCCAGGAATGCCATTGGCATAGACACTAAAGCTACATTTCTCAATGTGTTCTGAAGAATTTCACTGTTCGTCATAGACCATTTCCATACTGTATGCCCAAGCAACTGCCAACTTGAACATTTTTTAATGATCAAATGTTTTAAAACTGCTGTCACAATGATAAAATAATGAGTTGATTCAAACCTGCAGTGGTGCTTTGAGTGCATCCTGTATAGAGGCTAAAAGTTGATGGTATTTTGTGTATACATAATGTGGATTATGCATAATCCACATCACTGGGAAATATCAATGGGAACCCCATTTTGAGTATTTACTTAAAATGCTATTTTTTGCTAAATAAATACTATTCATTTGAGGAAACTACAATAATGCCTTGATTTGAGACGATCATATGTTCCAGTTTGCCGGTATTGTTTCATTGCATAATGTTAATAGTTATTGCTCATAGACAGATGCTTTTGTTGTTGCCATGTTTTCATTATTTTTGGTTACCTTTCAGTTGTGTTTTGCAGTTTACCTTTAGGCTTATGACTTGTATAGCCTGTTTGGACAGTACAACATATCAACTAAATGATTTACACACTACTAGCAACAATTAATAACTGTAAAATGATCAACTTATGCATCTCATTCCACAAGGTAATGGCACAGGCATGAACAGTTGTAGTTACCTGATATATGCAGGCCCAACCCCAATTTTGGCCAAATATAAATAAAATATATGGGCAAATTTCTAAAATAATTATTTCAAATCACTCAGGGAGGTGGGGCACACCATACTAGGAAAAAAAATGCCAACCATTCGTAATGGCTATTGCTCTTCTATGCCATTGCCTTGTGGAATCCTGTGACTACTATAAAATGTACTTAAAGGGCATACATTGCCAAATAAATTGAGATAGAAAGTATTTAGACAGTCCTTACTTTCACAGAAGGTTTTTTTTAATTCTTTACTTTAATAAGGTAAATTGTAGTTCTTTAATTGTATCATGTTGCTGGAGCATGACTGATTAGCAAAATGCTATCAATCAGAGTTCTTATGTGAATGTATCATCTAAATTTGGACAGTGTGTTCAAAAATCATGGCCGTTGGTCACATATGCCACGCACATTTGTCAACCAGTTACTATATGGGAAAAATATAACAAAACAAAAACAAAAAAATACTTTTGGGGTGCTGTTATCGAAGTTGTAGCTTTACGTCAGATTAAATGGAAGTAGTTTTTTAAATATTCAGGACCAAAACCATAATTGGAGGAGGTATCACACGCTCTCTGTAAAGGAAAATCTGACAATCTAAGTTTATTTTACATTTCATGTTTGGGACTACAAAGCAAGTGGTTAAGCAACAGCATACAAAATTACATCAAACTCTGCCCATAAGTGCCACTCCAGGTATTAACAGTAAAGCAAGTGATTTGACTGATCCTGATCAGTAAGCAAAGACTCTGTAGCATTCTCAGCTGTACATGTATGTTACTTCTGACAATGACAGATTATGTCAAGCTGTAAAGAACTGCATAACTTCTCATCATGAAATATTGTTTAACTTAATTACAGAATTCATTGAAAATATGTAATATGTTGCTAACATTTTTTGAGAGGTGATTTTTGTTTTTTATTTCGAATTTGATACACCATCGGTATCCTTTGCCTTTCATAAATATCCATCTTAAGTATTTTCTGTGTGTTTCCATAACTCAAGTCATATATTTCAATAACTGTTTACCATCTTAGACTCATGCTTCTGAAAAGTGCTGATGCAGGTTCTATGTCCTCATTTGTAAATTATTTGTCTTTGACAGGCCGTGATGCATAGGAATTTCCCCATATTTTAATAAAAGATTTCCCACTTGTTTCAAGTCAAAAACTTTTTATTGCTGAGGCAGGGAAAGCAAAATGATGACTCAAGAATGTTTGCCATAAATGACATCCATAAATGAGAATAATGTTTTTTAAATACCTCAGCAATGGAAGCAGTTTCAGGAAACATTAGTCTGTGACTTTTTCATAATGAAATTATTCAGAAGTTGAATGTAGTTTTTGTTCAGCTGGCCTTGGAGAGCAGAGCACAGATAAAAATCTGAGAAAATGCTCAACTTAGCGTTTTGGATGAAGGAAGTAGGTCACCATTACTCTCGAAGACTAGAAACTTGCAATCATCGCTCTGGGAATACAGCCGCAGTCTCGTCTTCCAGAAAGAAGAAACATCTGGAGCCACGAGGAAATCCCCAATCAGTTCGACAGATTTGGCCTAAAAGAGTCACACTTTGAGAAATTTCAGTATGGGTGACTGTCTTTGTTGGGCCTGGCATTCATTATAAAAGTCATGGCACTGGGGTTGACCAGCACTACACTATGCTGCCTCGTCTACCTTTCTCCCTAATTCTCTTTAGCTTCCTCCTTGCAGATGAAATCAACATTTTCCAGCCTGAAAGCTGATTAGACTGCAGTGATGCATGTTTTCCCCTGTGTAGCTAAAGAAGCCTGACAGCTAAACCAGATTGCTCACCGGGCTCCACTTTGCCATGACCTGTGCTATAACGCTGCCTGTTTGTGACCCAGAACCTGCATGAATACAGCTTGGAAACACTCACATCTTGTGCCCACCTGTTTGCTCTCCTTACTAAAAGAGACAGTCATCAGCATTAAGTAATGCCACACTTTCGGATGTTTATGCTGTTCAGTCACTTTCCTGCTCTGACTTTAGATGGTTTATTTGGGAAATGGACATCATAAGAACCTGAAAAAAGTCACTCTTTTAAGGGATTAGTGCTAATCAAGGCATATCCTCTTCCACTCAGATGCAACAAAACGAGGAGAAGCTTCAGTGAGGGAACCTACTATGATCTATGAATGAGTAGAGATTCTCACATGGCACTGCAGCTGATTGACGAATCAAAGACAGCACAAGGGAGCTCTGGCTGTGGAGAGTTTGTGTCCTACAGCAACACAATCAATACATCTGAACATCAAGGCGCTTCATGTCTGAGCAGCAGAGAAAGTGAGTTTGAAGAAAGGTTGAAAGGACTGCTCCATCAGAGCTGCTTTCTTCAGTGCATTAGAACACTGGGTGGATGTGGAGATTCCTTGGTAATGAAAGCAGCACTGAGCTCACCCCCTTTCTTCCTCAGTAATGGTTGTGATGTTGAAAATATTTTCATCAGGCTCAGATTTAGCGCTTTGAGCTAACTGTAAGTGTGCAAGTGTGATATATTGCTTGTTTTTGACAGCGCGTTCACGAGTGCCAGGTTGCCTTCGTGAATGCTCACGTTCATAGTAAATCATATGAACACCGGTCTTGGTAAATAAGCTACTAAATTGAAAAAAGGTGACAGAAAATTCTGTGGCCTTGATGGTATTTTGTGGCCCGGGGAATCAGCCTGCTGTGAGTTCAATCTACTAATAGTCTATGTGAACATTTCAGATTTCCAAGGCGCATTCTTACTAGGATGGGGTTATCAAACCTCATACTTATTATAATCTATAAGTAATCTGTAGCATCAAGTATTGAAATGACTGTGATGATCGCAGTCAGTACTAACCTCTGTGGTGTACAGTTGCCTATTTCCACATCCAGCCATGTCCAATATTTAACTCAGTTTCCACTAAGTCCTGGGAGAAATATCTGGAAATATATATGTTCACCAGCTATTATTTCATTGTGTCTGCCTGCTGTTTTCGTGCTGGGCAGGTAGTGTACAGTGGCTTTATCAGAGCTTTTTCACTGAAAACAGCCTCCCACTGCTGCTGGAAATAACGCTCAAACATGCTGAAGGGACCTGTGGGTGATGATTCTCTGTGAGTTTGTCTCTAAGAGTGACACCTTTCACATTACACACAGTCATTTCACCCATTGTTGATATGTAAATACTGATAACCGGTGTTGGACTAATTACTTTAAAAAAATATATCATTGGGGGGTGCCAACAAAAGTATATTGTAACTAATTATTTTTTGCGGGGTAACTAATATAATTACTTAAATGTATTAGTAATTAGTTACACTACTAGTTACTGGGGAAAGTAACATTATTGCTGTAATATTATTACAGTTACTGCCCAACACTGCTGAGTACACCTTGATGTTTTGGGAGGTTTGGTAAAACATTTTATTGTATAAATAATATTGTAAGTGGTTAATGGACAGGACTTCACACATTGATGGTTCTCTTCAATCTCCCAGTCAGATTGAACATGTTGTTTAGTTAATTATTGTATGTAAAGTTTTTGTTTGTTGTCTTGATTGAGGCAAAAAAAAAGAAAGACAAAAAAGTCGGACTCGGATGCCGCAGAGCAGAAACGAGTGCCTACCACTCCAAGGGGTTTCTCGACGGTACGCAGAAAATAGCACCATCAGGGGGCGCTGTGGCCTGTTTGTACTGTTCAATACCCCCGTAACAAGGCCCCTGCCAGTCACTCTGCGTTAATTCGGCCGCCGGGACTTTTAAAAGCCCGCAGCCTGTCTACTGTATTTCAGAGGCCGGAGGAAGAATAATTTTGCCTCAACTCAACCCTCCATTTCTGACAGAGTCCTGCTGTTAGCTCTACTTACCAAACAGGTGCACATGTTAGCAAGGAGCAGCAGCTATCTCACTGCAGGTAGCTGAAGGCAACCCTGATGATGACGATGGTGCTGGGAGACGTCATTTATGCTGGATTGGACTCAAACTGACAGCTGCTGGATGAAAGCATCATTGGTAAATTGTTCATTATTATATTCATTATTATTATTTGTGATGACAGACTTGTCATAAATGCTGGCTTTTTAACAAATGGCATTGTTTGTTGCTACTTGTTTAGTAAACCGCTGTGTCTGTTATCGATTATTGGAGAAAAGGCAGGACACACATTGCTTGCACACTTGTAGCCTAATTTGTTGTGCGGGCTGTTGTATAGGCATTTCTAGAGTATTCTTACTAGGGCTTGATTAACAAACCTCATACTTTTTTGTTTAAAATAATAATTTATAAAATAATCTGTAGTATTGGGTATTGAAATCTTTTTTATTCCAATATTCTCTTAAATAAAGTAGGAAATCTGGAAACCTTTCCAATAAAATGCCCCAAATTACCATTGTTTCATAATTTTTTGATGAATGATCGCAGTCAGTGCTAACCTCTGTGATAAATACATTGCGTTTCCTGTGGCTGCTTACACAATAAAGGCCACACTGTGTGTTTCAACCATTGACTATGAGCTTCCGGCTCGGAGAAAACCTGCATTCTATGTAAAGGCCAGCAGGGGGCGCTCCATTGGCTGCAATAAAAAAACAATACCATGCACTCTTATGGTGAAATTACCCGACTTCTCTCTTGTTTTTTTAGCTCAGTAAACAGTTTCCTAATGGGTAGTTTCCAGTCTTATTCCATACAGCATGATGTTCATTGTGTAAATTATGGTCTAATTTTAAAGTTAAATAGACAGCAAAGCAGGCTATGCTTTAGGGCGTGATTGACAGGTCAGTCTCAGTGAGTCCATCCAGCTCAACAACCAAACTCAGATCAAACTGTCAAATTAAAAAGTGATGATCAGATCAGTGTTTTTAATGTATTGTTTAGCTGTAATACGACATTGTGTGACTGGACGAGCCGCCATTGTTTCCTGCTACAGATGAGTCAAAACTGCACAGCCAATGAGAACAGCTCAACCTGAGTATGTCACCTCCGCTGGCTCCGACAAACTGTCATGGCGATGATCATAATGTCAAACTCGAGGCTTCAAGCTTCAAACTCAACCAATGGATGACGTCCCAATAGGTTCACACCTGGTTTCAACACTTTTAATACAAACTAGCAGCAGTTTGCATTAGTAGTAACTTACAGTTAATATAGCCCTCATGTAAGTACAGTAAACAGTAAACTGCTGGTTTACATACATTGTTTTCTGTAAATCCCTCATCTGTCTGAAGGCAATTTGAATCCAGTTCAGGAATGGTGGACTTTGGCAGTTAAAATAACCAAAGAGCTAATAGAACAATAAGAACAAAACACTGAATTTGTTAGAAAAGAAGCTTATTAAGTATGTATGATTGTTAGAAATAAAAAAACACAAAATACAGAGAATTGTATAAAAAGTTCCTAGAAATATCTCAAAAACTCCTCTCCTTTTACACAATCTCCCTGCAGTTATTGTGTTCACTATTTGGGTTCATTGTACAGTTTATCAGTTGTTCTGTGCTCTTATTGTCATGCATTAAAAATATGGCACTCAGTTTACTCACTGATAGAAAAGGTGTCCACTAAAGTAAAAGGCTGGGATCCACTGGTGTAGGCTATATGGCTGTGTGACTGTATGGGCATCCAGAATGTAAAATGCTGAATACTTTTTTATCCCTTATCTGACTGACCGAGCAGTTGTGATGCTAAAATATCAGCAGTTTGCTGTTTAATGATAAACTCATGGTGCTCTGCCAAAATAGCACACTTCATTGTGACTAAATACAGTAATCTGCATTTCTGATGGCAGGCTACATCTTGCCATCTAGGACCTCAACTCTTTTTCAGTGTCAAATAATAATTCATGAAATAATGTATCTGTTGCATTGAGTATTAAAAACTGATTCCTAGTCTGGCATGTTCTTTAATCACATATTGTCTGATATAAAGCAGGAAACCAAAAATGCTAACCTTTGTGACAAATACACAGCATTTCCTGTGGCTGCTTCACAATAAAGGCCACCCTTTGTTTCACCACTTTAACACTTTTAATGTAAACTAGCAGCAGTTCTTCACAGATTACCGGTCTCACATACTCCTCTCAAGATATATTGAAAGTTTACAGCTGTAAGAACCTTCTTGGTCACATATTTGAAAAAGATAGCATTGTTTATTAGAGCCTTGAAATTACAATCTCACAAAGTT